TATAATCTGTAGCATGACTAGCACCCCCAGTTAATGTCACTCACGTATAAGAGAGTCACAGGCAGGCTCTGTATAGTCTGTAGCATGATCAGCACCCACAGTTAATGTCACTCATATATAAGAAAGCCACAGACAGGTTCTGTATAATCTGTAGCATGACCAGCACTGCCAGTTAATGTCACACATATAAGAGAGCCACAGGCAGGCTTTATATAATCTGTAGCATACCATGGTACATGGTATAGGAATAAGTAGTCTAATTAATGCATCCGTTTTCTCTCATTCCCATTAATGATAGATGAGAGCAAATCAATCCTAAAGGAGACATGCGTTAAATCCTACTAAATCACATTAAACCAATTCCCCTAGAAAAAAAATAAATAAAAAATTGATAAGTTGCTGTAATTACAATAAATGTTTAAATTCAACGTAAAAGTAATCTAATACAATGTTTAGTTTTTAGCATGTTTTCTGTTATTTTGTTCAGTGCTTCCCTAAATGAATATATATCGACAGTAGGGATGTTTTATTCACACAGCTAAGAAGAGATCGCGATGACTCGATTCAAAGAAAATGGTTTGGGGTTTTGAATCCAGTAATAGACCGATACAGTATTCAATGCGTATGTGATTTTATCCACTCACAGTGGGCTGGATTTCATATCACGGTTGGAGAACTGAAAATTCACATGAATTAACGGCATCCCCCACCTGATAAAACAGGCATGGTGGCATTAAAAAAACCTCTGTTTTGATCTAAACGCCATTTATATAAAATCAAAATGTTTACACATTACCTTACTTTTAACAGGGTGCCAGCTCCGCTAGGAGAGAAGAAGAGAGCTACCCATTATACAGAGCTACGGAATCTGATGGCGCTATATAAATAATAATAATACTGCGTGGTCTCACCATGACTACTTCCCATGCTAGGGATGTGTTAGAAAGTAAACAGTTTCCCAGCTGTTGCTTTATTTCAGTACCCAGTCAGAGATGCGTAGTTAATGCATTGACCCAGCACTTACCTTTAGCAAGGACTGGTCTGTTTTAGGCTCATGGATTGATGGGTGACACATAACTAGGTGCGATTTATCTTGTATACTTCCATACAGACCACTGGCTCCCGCACTGCCTCTCAATCTGTTTGCTGCACTGCCACCATACCGCGCCTCCACAAGGCCCCCAAACTGTCTGCTGCACTGCCACCACACTGCTCCCCCAGCTGTCTGCTGCAAAATGCCTCCCAAACTGTCTGCTGCACTGCCATCCCAATCTGTCTGCTGCACTGCCATCCCAATCTGTCTGCTGCACTGCCACCACACTGCCCCCCCCAAATCTGTCTGCTGCCCTGCCACCCCAAACGGTCTGCTGCCCTGCCCCCATACCACCCCCTCACCTCACAATTACTCAATACGGCTGTTTCTACTGTCACCTAAAGGGACACGTAAGCACCATAACCACTACAGATTATCAAAGTAATTATAGTACTCGCATTATTTGTACTCGATATCTGTCAAAATCAACTGGTCTCTGAGCACCAAAACATGGGTATTTTTTAATTAAAAAAACCTTTATCAGGGTGGAACACACCACCTCTTTTCCAGGTAGGATTTTTGTCACAGATCTTGTAACCACAGCCTTCTAGGGTAATAAGTCCAGGACACGTCCAGCTGAGTTTTCAGATTTATTCGGTGAAATATATATACAGGTGTTTCAAAATGAAAAATAAACAAAACAAAATTCCTTGCTCCTGCTTGAGCACTTACTATACACTGCAAATCCCTATCTGGAATTGGGTGGCTTTCTCACTTGCCAATTTACAAAACGTATAACTGCAAGACACCATTCCTCTGGCTTTTCCTCCTCACTCTGCAGCATGCTGATCCCTTCTTTTTAACCCCTTAAAGGACCACGATAGTGCCAGGAAAACATACTCGTTTTCCTGGCACTATAGTGCCCTGAGGGTGCCCCCACCCTCAGGGACCTCATCCCGCTGGGCTCTGGGGAGAGGAAGGGGTTAAACTTACCTCTTTCTCCAGTGCTGGGCGGGGAGCTCTCCGCCTCTTCGGCTGAATGCGCATGCGCGGCAGGAGCTGCGCACGCATTCAGCCAGTCTCATAGGAAAGCATTCATAATGCTTTCCTATGGACGCTTGCGTCTTCTCACTGTGATTTTCACAGTGAGAAGCACGCAAACGCCTCTCGCGGCTGTCAATGAGAGAGCCACTAGAGGCTTTAGAGGCTGGATTAACCTATTTATAAACATAGTAGTTTCTCTGAAACTGCTATATTTATAAAAAAAAAAGGGTTAACCCTAGCTGGACCAGGCACCCAGACCACTTCATTAAGCTGAAGTGGTCTGGGTGCCTATAGTGGTCCTTTAAGGACCAAACTTCTGGAATAAAAGGGAATCATGACATGTCACACATAACATTTGTCCTTAAGGGGTTAAAAGCCTGCTAGCTAATTGATCAGATATAGGTGAGGTGCAATTAGGCATAAGTGAAACTATTCAGCAAAATAAAAGTTCTGGTCCGACTGTTACTTAGCAGCTGGTGCTATTGGAGCACTGGCCCACCCTGCTCTCTAAGTGCTCCGCCCCAGGGACCCATACCGTGGTTTGCAGAGTACCAGTGATGCATCTTGCAAACCCAACATCTCTCCCAGGGACATTTACCTCTCAAACCTCAGGCTGCTGTTCAGTAAATCAGGCCTAATGTATATGCCATCTATAATCTATATCAACTACCAAACCACATTTTCTCTCACACAGGGGAATAAGGGGGAGCTCAGTCCTCTGTATAAAATAAGATCTCTCCGCTAAATTAAAAGCAATGTCCCAAGAAACCCTGATAACAGTGCTAATAAACGCCTTGATTTAATATTTTGGGATAAACTTAAAAAAAATAAAAAATTGTTAAAATAAGTTGTTTTTTTTCCCTTCAACTTCATAAACAGGCCGGACACAAAAATTCTAACTAAAACAAACTTATAACATTGTTTGAAAAGTCAGACTTAAGAGAACAGGCCTTACTAATTCGCCAGTGACAGAAGCCACCTGCACACGACTCAGTAAATGGAATTTGTGACCCTGCATGCGTGCGGAATGAGCTCTCCAAACACACGAACAGCAACAGGATATTCCGGGAGTGAGAAAACTGTACCTGCTAATAAAAAGGGGGCGCTTATTAAACTCACCTGATGTGCGGATACTTACAGAGTGAAAGATATTCTAAGCTTAATTACGCTGCAGCAAATATTTACATGAAATTAAATTTTTCATTTTGTCACTTAATAAAACATTTTAAGGGAAAAGAATATATCGTTATACAATGAAAGGGCTGCTGGAAGTTTAACACAGAGCTACGTATTACCAGTGTCCTGCCACTCACTACCAAGTGGAACAGATTCATTATAGCATGTGACAGTGGGAGATCCTCCCTGACCCGGCTGCTGGGTTCAAGGTGACTTTGTGAGGAGACAGGGCTCTCCCAGAATCCTCAGGGGAAGGGATTAGTCAGTTTTAATGGAGCGTCATTAATAATTCAATATCTGGGAAAAGACATTTCACAGAATTAAGAGGTGATATTCTACACCTGAAAGTTACATTTTCGATAACTTTGATCAGATCACCTTTATGTACAGTGTAAATGAAGATCCCTGCTGGGATATAAACGTTGAAAAGTACTGAAAGTTTCAACCCTTGTCTTTTATCTTTCTGGCCATTTCTGTTACCAAACACATATTTTCCTTCTGATTTAGTTTTCAGAGCAGGCAGTCCTGTGTGTTTCCAAACTGTGAATCTGTGACGGCAGGGTGATTTATTTAACGTTCTAATTCATTTGCCCTATCTACTACAGAACCTAATCAAGCCACTATCGAATGTGTAGATAGAGGCTAATCATTTTAAATATTGCTTTTCCCCAGGGCAACATTTCTCTTTTAAGATGAAACAGTCTATATAAATCCTACAGTTTATCATGATTTAGCGAGCATGTTCCTATTCATCAAATGATCACTATTATGTTTCAAGACGAAGAGGTGCAGCTTTTGGGAAATGGCATTGCAGTATACAGCCTGAGGCCTGTGCCAGGCATTCACTACTGAAATGATTCATTATCTTCTTTACTACATTAAATGCCATTTTCAAAAGCATTTACTGATCACTTCTTTTAGTAATCAGTCTCTATTGTGCTTCTTGGGGAGGCCTTCCCCATGTTTTATGACGTGGTCTGAATCATAAATATGTACCTGGCTGGCGAACTACGGTGCAGAATACATGTACAAATATACACTTATAGAATATATACACTGTTTTCTGTAACAGTAATGATATATTATGTACACGTACAGATATACACATATAAAATATACACACTGTGCACAATGTATTCTGTAACAGTAATGATATATTATATGCATGTACAGATATACACACAAAATATACACACTGTGCACAATGTATGCTGTAACAGTAATGATATACTATATACATGTACAGATATACACACATAAAATATACACACTGTGCACAATGTATGCTGTAACAGTATTTATAAATTATATACATGTACATATATACACATATAAAATATACACATTGTGCACAATGTATGCTGTAACAGAAATTATATATTATGTACATGTACAGATATACACACAAAATATACACATTGTGCACAATGTATGCTGTAACAGAAATTATATATTATGTACATGTACAGATATACACATATAAAATATACACACTGTGCACAATGCATTCTTTAACAGTAATGATATATTATGTACACGTACAGATATACACATATAAAATATACACACTGTGCACAATGTATGCTGTAACAGTAATTATATATTATATACATGTACAAATATACACATATAAAATATACACACTGTGCACAGTGTAAACTCAACACGCTCAACTAATGTTTGTCCCACTCCTGGTTTTGGATGAATTGAGGTATATTTTACCAAGGTAAATATTGCCAGCGTGTTATCAGATTGTTACTCTGAGAACATGGGACAATTCGTGGAACATGGGACAATTCATGGAACAAGCCTTACTGCTTGACGTCGCCAGTTCTTTTGGTCCTGGTGATGATGGCTGTGCGGCACAGCTTTGGCAGAGGCAGTCTCTTCCGTTAAAGGTCACCCGATCTCCCGGAGGGAAGGGACGCCTGCAGAAAGGGTAAAGAAGGAAAATACCTCTTTTAATAAGAAAATAACATTTCAAACTGTCCATAAATCAATGTCTAACCATGGATGCTGACCAAACGTGTTTGAAATTCAGCATTGGTAGATCGGTAGTTGTGCTGGGATCAGGGGTCAGAAAATAACAAGAGAGTTTAGATTTTATAATATGCACAGGATATCAAAAATATTACAAAAATAAAAAATAAAATAAGTGTCCAGTTATATACATGCTGGAAAATGTGGTTAAATCAGTAAACTGGGATTTGTGTAAAAATAACAGGATTTACAAATTCTGAGCAATAGCAGTCAAACTTTAAACATAAAATAACTGCACAATTTTTTAAATGTGGTTATTTTTGGCTAAACGTTGCGATCTCTTTGTCAGTTATCCAATATTTTCCACTGTAATGCATAATCCCTACAGGAAATATAAGTTCAAAATAGTTTCTGGGAATTCTCTTCCCTAATCTGTTTGTTTAAAAAGGTCTTTCATGTTAAATATATAAGTGTGCACACATTTGTTCTGCTGTGGTGATTAATGTAAGGTTTGTTCAGGTGACAGATTCCCCATACGGTGCCAAATACGGTGTAAATGTAAAATGTCCTGTGCCTTTCTGCTAAGGATCAGCTTGAAAGCAAACTAATGGTCTGTTTGGCATGGGGGAGGGGGGGTTTCATAACCTTTCTCTGTAATAAAAAATAAGGTATTAACTCCAGCACGGCCAAAAAACGCCTGCCAATTTAATGTCCGGTAAAATAAAAATCCAAATCATCAACAACCGTTTAATAATGGCAACTAAAACACGAACAGAGAGGCTTATTCAGCAAATTCCACACTGCAGGCAAATACAGCGAAACTAGAATAATGCTACAAGTCGGCTACATCTCCAAATTGGCTATTCTGGCCTAGAATTTGAAATTCACTTTGAATTGCCATTAGTTTGTTTAGGGGCTTATTCCAAAACATTAAATTACAGAAGGTTGAAAAAATTACTGCAAAATGTCTGCTGAAACAGCTCCTTTGAAGGGCTTTTTGACTATTTTTGCAATTATTTTTTTTTTAGTTCAATAATAGTTAATAACCCTGAAAGGCTTTCTACCCCTTTATCCTCGCTGAACCCACTATATTATTGGTGGAAATCTGGCATTTCTTTTACATTCTAATCACATGACTGTTGCATTATCTGGGTTGTTGAATACTAAGCGAATTTCACATTGAGAGTGAAAATAGCCAAAGTGCGAGAATTCTCTAGGTCTCTCCTTAGTGAATAACAATGTATGTATCTTATAAGCTGGCGCTGTATAAATAATAACCAATACTAATATCTACAGAGGGAATCTGACATCCTAAACCATCAAAAGGGAAGTGGATGAAAGCTCACATTGCAGTCATTTAAAGGGACACTCCCTTCCATAGTACATACCTGCTACATATCTCAGTTCTGCAGGGAGTGTTTTTTGACAAGCCAGTTACATTCCTGGCCACAGTGTTTAAATAACAGAGAGATTTTATTCGCATTCACTGTAAGCTATAAATATACAATGGGCTAAACCTTTGCTGAGAAGATAAGAATTGTGAACTTAGAGATAGAGCAGAGAACAAAATACAGAATTCAATGTGAAATGACCTTTACATAACTCTAGCTGCAGCACGCACTTACACCAATGACTAACACAGAGTGTTTCATCATAGGAAGCATAGTGACATGGCAATGTATCCACGGCAGTGGTGATGGTGATATTACATTCCTATGAATGACATTGTAAGCGCACAGTGACACCAATGACTAACACAGAATGTTTCATCATAGGAAGCATAGTGACGTGGCAATGTATCCACGGCAATGGTGATAGTGATATTACATTCCTATGAATGACATTGTAAGCGCACAGTGACACCAATGACTAACACAGAGTGTTTCATCATAGGAAGCATATTGACATGGCAATGTATCCACAGCAGTGGTGATGGTGATATTACATTCCTATGAGTGACATCATGAGCTTTGTAGTATAAGCCTTCCCGTTAAACAATACGGTTTATTTATTAAACAATTGTGGTGAACTCAAAACAGCGGAGATGGGAACATTTTTTAATAGAGCTATTTGGAAAACCTGTCTGTTTCATTCTGGTTTTAGCAGATTGTTTTTTATTTCACCACAATTGACTGTTTAGTAAATAGACTCCGGTAAATGGCTCAGTGTAAGCTCCTGGTCAGTACTTACTTGCATAAAGTGCAGGCGAAGCAGTTGGGATGGTAGGTCTTCCCTAACGCAGTGACGACTTCTCCCTCCACAAACTCCCCGCAGCCGCTGCACCGCGTCCCATACATTCGCTGATAGTCTAGCGTGCATAAATACTCTCCGTTCTTAATGAAGAAGCCGCCTTGGGCCAAGTCGCAGCCACAAACTGTGAACAAGACAATAGCAGAGAAAGATCATGAGATAAGAGTCATCCTGTTCCAAGACTTCTTTATATAAAGCGTTGGAATAATGGATGACAGAACAGAGATAGGATCCAGTTCTGTAACTGATCAATTCCAGGGGTCGATCAGGGCAATAAGCTCACGAATGCTTCATAGACATAACTAAATGTTCCGGTCCAGTCATGTCAGCACCAAAACCCACTAATTTGTGCCAGAAGGGCTAGTTTGCTGCACCACACTTAAAGGGACACTTCCGACTAGCAGCGACCCATTGCTTCTGTAAGGTACTGTTCAGATAATACATTCAGAATATATCCAGAAACAATCAATTAACAATAATAAAAACAGTATTGAAATCCCCAGACTTTGCAGCTTCTGCAGTGAGCTACTTACCAACATGCTGAGAGCTACAAGAGGCGCTCTCTCCCGGCTCTGAGCGCACGTTTTAAAATGTTCTCATAGGGGATGGCATGGGCAATGATGCCAAGATAAACATAACTGGCATAAATGAATGCATTCATAGTAACGCCATGTGACCAAGAGACGGGTGTAACAAAACACTCACACTTTAGTTGTGATACCTAGTAAACAGTCTGTATGGAGCTGCTCACCATGTACCATGTAATACTCTTTACTATAACAATGATCTGTCTTCATCCTCCCCACGACCGCTGGACATCTCTCTAACCACCAACTGCTATTTAGTTCTGCTTCTCAGACTCCAAGCTTTCGTGTTTCCTTTAATGATTGTATAATTAATGTAGTCATTGATTTATTATTTTATTTCTATAAAAAGCATCCTAGCAAACGTTTTCCATCCACATAACAAATAAGTAAGTGACAGAAATGAATTCAGTCTGCTGCCTTTGATTCTGAACAGCTGTTTCTATTAATTTTATAGCATCACGGAGGACGTGAACGTCTAATACTGGCTTAGCAGATGTGACTAGGACTAGAGTACCCCGTATGGGGTACCCCTTGTGGGTCTCTCAGCCATATATACAGAATGTGTGGCCACCAGATGGGGAATATTACCACCAGGACAGTTTATGGCTATTCTTGGCATTGCAGACAGTTCTCTACCTTATGTGACGCCCTTCACCACCCATCAGGGTCATAACTCACACTTAATGTGGCCCACTGGTTCTTTAAAAAAAAAAAAAATCAGGTTTAATTTCTGAGACGCATGTTCATACAAGTAACTTCTGAGACACCAAACACACAATTTGGAGTCACAAGAGAGATGCCAACCAATGAAACCTCAAAGAGGCCAATGGCAACCTATTGCATGGACTTGCCACGAATTCTGTATAACCCACAGTGTGTTCATTGATGCTCAGTTTCTCTCTGCTACCCCGGACTCTTGGCTTTCCTACACACGTTTTGTGCTTTTCCGTGCCCTACATCTCGGCTCATTCTCTGATTCCACTTACCTGGCCACAGGTGTGCTTTCTCCTTTCTATAGGAACGGTGGAAAGTGTATTTGTTTGCTATTTTTCTACGTTAGAGCCATTGATTATTTGTGTTATTTCTATTTGAGTAAGGGTTTATTTTGTTGGTTTGTCCTGATTGAGCGGATATTTGCTGTTCAGACCTTTCAGGGATTATAATATTTTGGGCTCTTCCATTTCTGGTGTATCATTGGCCAGGCCAGCTCCTATTAAGTTGGCTGCACGTGAGGCCATTGAACATGGACCAGGTATACAGGTCAGATAAACCGCTTACTTGGCTGAAGCATGAATAAAGTTATTAAATGTTAAAGTAGAAGACGACAAAGCTCTGTTCACCCATAACCAGGGGAGACGCCAGACAAGGAAGCTCCAAACCAAGGATCCACAAAGAAACTGAAAACTACAAGAAGCATGCCAAGGCAAGCACTCACACCGATGGCGCCCTAAACATCACATTCTATGATTAGGGACCGGGAGGTCTGAAATGTCTAATTACCGGTACCCCCTGTGATGATTAAGGTGCCTAATAAACATCTTCGTATCCATCGGTGAGCTCTTGTCATGGCATGCTTTTTGCAGTTTGAAGCACGAAACAATGATAAAGTTATAATTAAACTACCAGTTGGCAGTGAACATATAGCTTCAGGTACAGCATGCAAGCTATAAAATATACAGTACACACAAAGAAACACAGTGTCATTTGTTTAGATGAATGTGATTAATTGCCTGTAAGGGGTTAATCTAGTAAAAGAACCGGTTCAGACAGAATCGTGCTGTGAAGCAGCCAAATGTCTGGTGCCAACAAGAAGTCAGGTAGTTGTGAAACATATTGTCAGTGTTTATTTCTTGCCATATCTTAAACACGCAGCATCCACTTATTGAACAGAATGTCAGATAGTCAAAGTCTGTCTTCATTGATATTAACACATCGCTCAGACTACAAACACAACATATGTGTAATCGACACATTGCCGCAATATTCAGAGATCGCTCGTACACCAGACGGAGCCGCTATAGACTGTTTTCCTGTTCTGACAAAGTCCACGTCCCGCAGCCTAGGATCACAAGGTTTATTATGTCTGGCGGAGGGGGGGTTTATTCTCCTGTAGGTATGATGGGTAATGATGGGGGATCTACCTGCATCTCCCAAATAATTAAAGAAACAGACATCCCTTATTTCAAAGACCATTACCTGCTTTCTAACATACAATGGCCATGCCAACGTGGATAGCTAACGGCTCCCTGTTAAGCACCACGCGTGGCGATCCTTGTCCCACACAATATATTTCACATGGCATCAGATCTTCGCAAATAACTATCTCACTGGCAAACTCTCCCAAATACCATATATTTACTCCTTCTCATTCCCTCTTTGCTATCGAAACAGACACGGTTTATATTGACTCTGTTGAAATCTAGTAAACAACACTCTTTGCAGGAATAACAACTGATGGGAGCGAGCATCGACTGGTCACGGCTGCCTGGATCATGCTCCAACACGAACACCGACAATCTAAGAGTGGGAAGTGTCCCTGGTACCGACTTAATGTCCAGGGCCAAATAGCAGGAAGTGCATATATATAATAAAATGTCCGAAAACATTAACAGGATGCAAATTCCTGCAGTAATTCTCATCTCAGTTTGAATGAATCCAGCACAAGCAAGCATTTAATGAAGTCAGATGATTTATTTTTGGATCAGCTGACCGCTTTTGGATTGCAATAAACGCACTTAGCTTTGTGAATAAGATTCCTGCCCTTCATTAGAACCATCTGAAAATAATCCAATTCACCCTTTATCTCATGTTTACCAGGCTAGCTCTGGATAACCCATTCAGGGCAATGGTAAAAAAAATATCACATCATGAAGGTCATATGACAGAAGAAGTCATTAAGGGTTAAAAAAGGGCCCTAGTAACTAAGACTTTGAGAAATATGAGCAAATAATGGTCTCTGTAAATGCAGCCACGAAAAGGTTAAATTGTGTCCGGCCGAGCAGACACTGTATTGCCGGCTATGTTTGGCACATGTGAGATGGCAGATTAGATCTTTTAATATTGTAATAGAAAATAATCACTCTGTATTCCGGTAACACGCACACACAGTGTTTTTCTAGAAATCTAATTTTGATAATTGGTTTATGCTTAATAATACACAACTTATCCTTTATATAATCTTTTATCACCAAACATAAAGGAGGGAAGGTAGCAGGCAGTTAGTATTCCTGAAAACACACACCGGTCAGGGAGAGCTTGGTGTTAAACATTTTCTCATGTTTTTTAACTGGTGAAACAATAACAGAATAACTCACATGATCCCTGTCCTTTACGGTTTGATCAACCTCTCATCCGTGTCTTTCATCAGAACCTAACCGATGTCTAATTGCTCCGTGAAACTGTTTGCTGTGCACTTACTTGCTGAGATTGCTAGCTCTTCAGGACAGAAGTGCCTTCTCACAATTCTACATGCAGACAAGTAGCTGTCTCCTGCGTGATCTCTGAGCTTTTCTATAAAGGGATTTAGGGATAAATATTTATGGACAATCGCTATTGTTTCCATTGACGTGCCCAAGGAAGTGGGCATCCTTCATTAACCCTTTACATCCCAAGCACTTAGAGTAGGGGGAAGGCTGACTTTCCCATCACACATGACACAATCACCTATAATTGTCCTTTTCCTGGATCTCAGCCCTGCAGTCTCTGGCAGACTGGGTTGGCTATTTTTATTTTTTAGTCACCTTCTTTATACTGCTGAAATCTTCTGGTGTACCCAAACATAAATAAAAACAGAGGTTTCTGACATACTCATCTTCTGAGTGTGCAATTATTTCAGTTAATTTAAACACAACTTCAAACAGGCGCTGTGTGTGACAGCATTTTATAAAGACAGACAATTATATTCCACATGGGTGAATTATAAACATTGTTCACCCCCGCTCACCACTGGACCAACTCCATAGTAGGATCCCCCTACTAGGAAGGATAAATAAAGTGTATGGAGACCGTAAGATCTGGATCTGCCACCAGAGTCAGCCGGGATTGGTTGCAGAACGCCAATATTGTGGATCCATCTCAGTTTGTCCTAATGTTTCATTCAAAGAAAGCATCATTTTCATGAAAATATTTGGTTCTCAAATCAGCAGTTCTCCAGAAATCTTTAAAAGTCTCATCATGGTGCATTGTGGTGGCACAGTTAACAAGTAATCTCTGAGGGCCCCATATAACCCAGTGGGCAGGGGTGTGCGAGGCCAATAAAGCTGAGTCTCTTGACATGACATAGAAATGTCACAGGAACACAGCAAAAATAGATACAAAAATAGATACTCTGGAAAACGGTGTTTGTCGGTATAACATGTCACCCCAAAACATACCAACAACGCAAACAGATTGTCCAGGAATAAATCAAAATGAATACATAAAGTATACATAAATACGACAATATGTCAGATAACTAATTATATGACAAAATATGTGTTCATTTTATCCACATTCTTTCCCTGTTTTTTGCATTTAAAGACAATTCTGTATGTGATTACCATTTGCTCTGTCTGGGTAGCACTGAACGGGTTAATTCATAACTAGACAGATCGTTCCTATTGACATTTTTTATTGCAAGGCTGGCATTAAGAATACTGCGCTCAGCAGACGTCTGCATTACAGAGAGGATTAATTGCATCGCTATTGATCTAAATGCATTTCCGTGTCTCTTGTAAAAGGCCAATAGAAATGATATACAGAGAACAAATTCTCGGCAATGAGGGCGCTGTCTGCGGACCTTTTATTGTCTGTTAAAACCAAGCTTGTAGAAAGAGAATGTCTGAATTTGCACTATCTGTAAATGAAGGGAAGTTGCAAAATGTACAAAATTTACCAACGTCCTAATTTCCTTAAAAGGGAAACAATATCTAAAATAAATCTTTTTTGTAGGACGGCCTATGTAATAACATGGGCTAGTTACTAAACTAAAAACTGTTGGGAATGAAGTGGTCTGGGTGCCAGGTCCCTCTAGTTTTAACCCTGCAGCTGAAAACATTTGACGTTTGATCCAGCCTCTAGTGGCTGTCTACATAACAGCCACTAGAGGCCACTTCCGCGATCCACAATGTAAAAATCGCATTGAGGACACGCTGACGTCCACAGGAAAGCATTGAGTAATGCTTTCCTATGGGCAGTTTGAATGTGCGCGCGGCTCACAGAACTCCACTGCA